CAAAGTATGCACTCAGACAGTACGCGTCGCATTAACCTCAGCTGTACTGTCTTTGTGCATACTTTTAGGTATCCTCGTAATAACCTCATAATATAGTATGGTTGAGAAATACGATGCCCAACATCAAAGCAAAGAAATTACCATGCAAACAAAATAATACAGTTTTAGTTTTGTTTGAATAAACCTGGGAAAATAATTTCTAGATTTATGGTATATCTTTTTAATAAAGATCAGTAAATGAATCATATTTCACTGTGGTATTTTTGTTTTTTTTATTTGCTGGAAATCAATATGACAACAATAAACTAAAGAATTCATCAACTTTGTATTTGATGATTTCAATGGGGATTTGCATGTCACACGTAATTTTTACCATAGAGGGTGTACTTCACTGTAGTTGAAATGTCCTCAAAGAATGGTTGATGCCAGACCACCAGAAACAAAAATGTTATCTTCATCGCACCTGAATACCAAGGTCAATTTTGTCAACTTTAACAAATAAACCTGCTTATTTTTTTTTTCGCAAAATTAAAAAATACTGAATAAACTTGACTTACTTAATTAAGTGCACTTTTCACTAATAAATTAGTAATGATGAAATCTGTTTTTCAGTTCTACATCAAAGTTTAATTCTTTGCCAATTCTCTTCATAACACAGCACAACAATTCTGCTTAGGTTGGAAAAATGAGGAAATTAATACTTTTTTATTGGCTAATTTTTTTTCACAATATTATATAAAAAATAAATATAAATTTATGTCTTTCAATCTGCATAACATGTACATAATTTTTGTGAGTGTTTTTTGGAATTTACATCAAGTAACTTGCATGTGCCAAAAATCCATTTTATGGCCCCAACAAATATTTTCACATCAATTAAAATTTCTTTAATTTTGAACCAAACAGATACAACAATCTACAGGTGTTGGTAAAACTTTCTGAAAAAATACAAGTAAAATTCGTTTTGTATTTTACAAAATTTAGAAATTTACAAAAACTTATGTCTGTATTTTGTTTTGGCAACATTGCTTGAATACCTCCCCCAGTGGTGACAATTAGAATATATCCTCTGTCATTTTACAAGGCAAAATAAATTTCCACTTTTTGTGTCAAATTAAATAGGTTTTATTAAGATTTATTGGGGTAACTTTGTAACAAAATATTTCTGTTCATGATTCACTACATTATTCTTACTACAAAAAATATGGAAACAATTGACCATAAATTCATTTTATTATTGACCAATTTTTTTTACAAGTTTGTGTGAGCATTAAATCTAATTTAAATATCAAAGTAACAACTGATACAGATCTAGGGAATTGGGAGGTTGTTGTTTCCATCCCCCTCAAAGTGTACCTATCCTCATTTTTTTTCTACTTTGTGAAGATTTTTATTACCTGCCGACCTAGCTCTTTTTGTAGTCAGCCAACAAACAAGACAGCCTAATCAGACTGCAAAGCCGTAAAATACTCGACTGGTAGCCATGGTAGCAATTCCCATAAACCACCCGGGCTGTCACATAGGAGGCTGTAAAATAACCGACGCGAAAGGTCAAATGACATTTTCGTCAATTTCCTGCCCATGTTGGCAGGGAGTCGTGTAAAACTCACCCAGGGTGGGGATATCGACATCTTACATCGTGTCGGCAGACTTATTTTTATGTTTGGGCATTCATAATGCAGGTTTTCCTTGTCGGTATTTGAATGCTCTCGTAGATAGTAAAACTAAAATTTACGACCCAGGATATTTAGTCTTGTGTGGCAAGCACAGACGAAGGTCGTACTAATAGAGGGGCCTAAACTAGGTAAAAGGGCAGACTTCCAGTTAAAAAACAAATACAAAATGCAACAAAAATTTGTGTTTGCCTTTATTATTTTTCCAAGCTCATGAAAACGAGGAGTTTTCTCCTAAAAAAGTCTGGTATATATATTACTAATTATTACCCGTTGTTTAACATCAGACAGCTTTACGGACATCTTCAATGATATTTATTATACCGAAATTTGGTTGTTATTCTGACCTGGTGACGTGGCCACCCCTCTTCATCAATGGAAGAACCCAGTTGTGATTGTATTTGTTATTTAGTATATTGTGTTTTTGTTTTGTTTTTTATATATATTTTTCTCCTTGTACTTTGTGACCATTTTCTTTCCCTCCGGGGATTGTGTAAGAGTCAATAAGTAAATAAATAAATAAATAAATGTAATCTTTGATGTGTAAGCTACTGCAGAAATCATCTCAACTGAGACAACTGCGGTCTGAGGGATGGGGGCAAAGCTCGGATGGGACAGGTGAGAGATTTGAGAGTGGGGACGTATTCAACAGAGACGGAAACCGGGTACGCAGACATAGAAAGCAAGGTGGTGCAATATTTCACAACATAAAAAAGTTAATCAGATTTCCGTCGGGTGGTCCAGATAATAAAAACGGAAAACATAAAATTTAATAGAATTTTTATGACTGACCGTACTGAAAGGAATTTTTTTGTTCACACGTGCAAAGAGAGGTTATGTTACCTCACAAAACATGTGAAGAGATGGAATTCCTGTGTGACTAGTGTTAGCAATGAAAATGATCACAGATGCAACTGAAATCTGGTGCAATTCCACTTTTATGTCTTTCAAAAAGAGGTAAATATGAGTAGTTGTACTTCAAGTCACCAGCAAGCCCCAGTAACCATGACAACATCTGATAATTTATTTCTGCAATTTTCACATTGAATTTTGAAGAGCCACATCAAGACACACGCACAAAAACAAAACATATTATTTAAAAAGATTTTTTATGAAAAATTTAATTAATTTATTAATCTGAAAAAAAAAACAATGCG